CTGCTTAGGCCAGGTGTACAAAGTTCAACATCATATTACCCAGTAATTTTCAGGAACAAAATGGGTTCAAGAAAAACCTTAAATGTCATCAACGCACAAAATTAATGCCTGGCATCAAAAGAACCCAAGTGCTGTGTTTCAACACACATGTCTGAAATGATATTCAATTGATACCTAACAAAAGAAAACATGTGTGCCCCATAGGCACTGAGAACAGCAGGTAGACAAGCTGACATAGCCCATAGAAAGCCGAATCAAAGGATGGTGCAATGAGGGCTGAAATCTCATTTTATATATGAGGAAACTGAGACCCAGGAAGGTTGAAGAATCTGTACCACATCATGCCCATAATGGTAGCTCTGACCAGAATCCAAGTCTCCTGACTAAATCTAGTGCTCTACCCACAACCAAAGCAGCCCTGCGGTGCAACTTGGCTGCTACCTGAAAGGTCCATGGTTTGACCTTTTGATCCTTGGGTGAAAAGACTTGGCAACATCCGCATGTAAAGAGCACAGCCTACGAATCCTAGTGGCAGCTCTACTCCGTCCTGTGGGGTCACTATACAGAATTGACTCGGCACAAAACAACATTGGAAATGTTCTCACTCTCATGTCTTTGTACTTGCATTTAATTACGCATATATGGTATTCACCGACTGGTCAGAATATTCCTCACTTTGAAGTCCTATTTTCAAATATCACACATGGGGGAAAAAACTCTGAAAACTCTAACAAAAGAAGTCTGCTTTTGAAAGAGCTTTATACAATCTGCTAACAGTGAAGAGATTACAGACTTCCCATAACAACCTTAAAAAACAGGCCAAAAGATATTCTATCTTCAAATAAAATATTTTGTTCCAAAGATAAACCCTTTTACATATATAATACGGCACTGACAGCAACAACAAACGTTAATCTACAGGTAAACAGATGGGTAGACAGGTTATGTCTGGGCAAAAGGGAATACACCTGTGACCATATACAAGGTTGGCAGACAATAATTCTACATTCACATTTGTATGTGCTCTAAGAATGTCCAAATATGTAACAGGGCTAACAAGGGACAAAGTTACGATAACTTCTTGGCCACCACTAACTACCTTGAAGGAACGAGTAGCTGGACCTGTGGACTTGGGACCATAGTCACAGAGGACATCAAGCTCAACTGGTATAACATGCTACACACAAAAACACTGTTCTACATCCTACTTTGGTGAGTAGCAAGTGAGGTCTTAAAGCTTACAAGTGATCTACAACATTTCTGTATCTGCGACATTTCAGTCACTGAACCCAAAAACAATTTTCCTTTCAAAAGGGAAAGGACCAGGTCCAGACCTGCCAACTAGGATATATGTGTGTGTGTGGGTGTGTGTGTCCTTGTATCTGACACATACATTTGTAACTAAAACCTTATTCCTTCTAAAATATGAATCACATTTCTGCCAAAACTCACTAAATCAGTTATTTCTCTTACTTACAAGCTTACTAGATACAACAACGGGTCTCGCTCTCCTTTTCCAAAGCAAAGAATAAAGAAAACGAAAGACACGTGGAAACAACTAGTCCAAGGGATTAGTGGGGTCTAGGAGATTCTCAGCATAGGGGCCCTAGGTTCAAAGGATGCACACTGCTCTCAGTTCTTCTTTTTTTGGTGGTAAGGAAGTCCCTCTCTTTCTCTGCCACCTTCTCTCTTCTTTTATCTCTTGTAAGATAAAGGGTGATGCTGGCTACCCCCCAGGGAAACTCCCCTTACATCAGATCAGGCTATGACCTGAGTGAGGGCGTTGCATCCCACCCCAATCACCTTACAACTCATTGGCTGATCTCATCAGATCACATCAAGGAGATGATTACATCATGACATAACTGATAAATTACATCACTGCAAAACTGCCAAACCACTGAGAATCATGGCCTAGACAAGTTGACATAATTTTGGGTGACACAATTCAATCCATGACACACATCCCTGCAGATCCATTCATAGTATCCAGTAGGAGAAAAGGGGCATTGGTGGTTCAGTGGTAGACCCAGGTTCAATTCCTGGCCAACGCACCTCACATGCAGCCACCAACCATCGATCTATCAGCGGAGGCCTGGGTGTCGCTATGGCACTGAACAGGTTTCAACACAGACAGATTCGGAAGAAAAGCCTGGCAGTCTACTCAGAAATCAGCCAGTGAAAACCCCATAGATCACAACAATCCAATCCTCAACCAGTCACGGGCTGATGCAGGCCAGATGGCATTTCAGTCCATTCTGTTGTGCACTGAGTCAGTGTGAGTCAGGGGCCAATTCTACACTCCACAGCAGCTAACAACGGGGGATAAAGAGGAAAGGTGCTTTGGGACGAACACACATCACCCTCTGATCCTTTTATATCAAACGTCATCCAAAAACTCTTAAAAACATTTCTGTATCTATAACATTTCAGTCGCTGAATCCAAAAACAATTTTCCTGTCTTTCACAAGGAAAAGGACCAGGTCCAGATCTGTCAACTAGGCACTACGCTACCAGAGCTCCCATATGTGTGTGTGTATGCTACTCTGGTAGCGTAGTGCCTAAGGCACGTGACTGCTAACCAGAAGGCTGGTGGTTCAAACCCACCAGCCACTCTTCAGAAGGAAGGTTGGTCAATCTACTACTGTAGTGATGTTGTTGTTGTTGTTATGTGCCATCGAGTCAGACCTGACTCATAGCGACCCTTCCTTGGGTTTCTGAGGCAGTATAACTACGGAAGTAGATTGCCCCATCTTCCTTCTGAAGAGTGACTGGTGGGTTTGAACCACCAGCCTTCTGTTTAGGAGTCAAGTGCCTTAGGCATAGTGATACCGCCTCAGAAACCCAAGGAGGGGGGAGGGGTTGCTATGAGTTGGGTCCGACTAAATGGTACATAACAAAATCTGACACATACATTTGTAACTAAAATCTTATTCCTTCTAAAATATGAATCACATTTCTACCAAAACTCACTAAATCAGTTATTTCTCTTTTAACAAGAAAACAGAAAACGATCTGATCTCACTTGTAGATTATATTGTAAATGAGAACCAAATTAAAGCTGTCAGTAATTAAAAGTTTTACAAGTATTACAATGTCAAAAACATGGCTTTTATATAGCCATAAAAAATTGTTTTATGTACGTCTACGCAGTGAGCAGTGTTTCATATCCAGGCCCTGGTATAAAGGATTATGTCTCTCCAGAAGTAGAGACCCATGGGATATATCTGTGACCTTACAAAACCAGAGACTGGGTCCGGGTCCAAATAATTCCTGATCTGACATTTCTGTAAAAACAACAATTATAACCCTTTTTATGACACAAAAAATGGATCATGCAACAACTATGGGTTTTAAAGGGAAATTTTAGTTTAAAAGGGAGCTATGGTGGCATAGTGTCTACGACATTTGACTGCTAACCACGGCACCACTAGGACTCCTGTGTCTGCCATAAAGTGTTCAACACGCTTATTCTCTGTTTTGAAAGGACCTGGCCAGATACTGGTTTTGGAGTCCTCACTAGGCCAGAAACTACACGAAGAAAACCGAGGGGAAAATCCCCAGCAGGGATCAGAAGGAACTTTTTTCTTTCCCCTCCAGAGCCGGGAACATTCCGGTTGGGAAAGTCCCCCAGCAAGACCACATTTGCAACACTACAATGCTGCCTGTGGAATGAATTTTAACTGCTAGGTGGCCCCCGGAAACATCGCAGAAGAGGAAGAACCGGCACGCGCATATGCAGACTGGTCCAGAACCCCTGGAGCGCGCTAAGGAGGTTCACAGCCCAACCACCCCACTGCAGGCCCAGGGCAGACCGGCATGGGCCCCCCGAAGTGGCACTACAGAGCCACCTAGGGAACACGGGCGCTTCACTGAAGATGAAACGAGAATGAACCCAGAAGTACGGTTCGTGCAGCAGCCAAAGCCTCCAGTGCCGGGGGGGGTGGGGGGGGGTGTCTAACGGGGCCTCAAGAGTGTTGAGTGGCAGGATGATGGTCAAGTGCAGTGCAGAGACGCTGTGAAGTGAAGCAGCAGAGTCAAAGGGTGGAGAGTGGTCTGCCCTGAGAGGAAAAGGAAGTGGGCTAGACTGGCGAGGTCTAGACCAAAGGAGAAGTGAGGGGACAGGACGGGAAGAAGTGACCGACAGGACAGGAACTCGAGCTGAAGGAAAGGTTGAGGCCTAGAGAAAGAAGCAAGGAGGCAGGAGTGGGAAATAACCGAGGAAGGGGCTCCAGAGAAAACGAGGGGGCGGGGCCAAGAAGGAAAGGGGGTGGGGCCAGTAGGGGAAGCGAGGTGAGGGGAAAGGGAGGAAAGCCAGAGGAAGGGTGAGGAGGGATGAGCAAGAGAGAAGAGAGAAGGCAGGCTGAGGGAGGGAAGGGAAAATGAGGGGAGCGGGGCTGGTGAGAAGCCAGGGGACGGGGCCCAAGAGGGAAGTGAGGGGACGACAGTGGGCGAGGAACTAAGAGGCAGGTGAGGAAAGGCAGCATGGGGGCGTGGCTGGGAGCGGCGAGGGGCGTGGCTGGGAGCGGCGGGGGGCGGGGCCAGGAAGAAGGAAGGAGGCAGGTGTGAGGGAGAAGGAGAGAAGAGTGTTGTTGTGGGGGGGGGAGTGAAATGCGTAGGGGCGGGACCGGGAGGGAGAAGGAAGGAGGCAGGTGTGAGGGAGGCGGGAACGGACTTGGATGCTGGGGGTGAGAAATGAGGGGCAGAGCCAGCAAGGAGGCAGGTGTGCGGGAGGCAGCAGGCAGAAGGAAGATGGGGCTGAGAGGCAAGGGGGAGGAGCCGGGGGGAAGCGAGGGGGCGGGGCCTAGGGGGAAGCGAGGGGGCGGGGTCGGGAGCAGCGAGGGGCACACGCTGAGGGGGGTGACGAGGTCCTGGGACAACGGCCGGTTGGGGGAGGGACACTTTACAAGGGCGATATTGAGGAAATTCCGGGGCTGCTAAGGGGCTGCGAGGGGTCTGAGAGGGAGCTGAGGGCGGCGTGGGCCTCCTGCTGGCCGTACCTGTCAGACGGATCTTGATGCTGGAGCCATTCCTGCGCGTCCCGGGGTTCGACATCTCCCGCCAGCGATCTCGGGGCCGCGGATCCAGCGCCGCCGCCCCCCGGTCCGGCCCGGCCCGGCCCCGCCGCCGCCGCCTCAAGGTTACGGCTCCGGGCTGGGCGCCGGGGTCCGAGCCGGGACACAAACTCCGCGGCCCAGGCGTCCGGGCGGCGGGCAGATGGTCGAACCGGGGGACTGGCACTCGCCCCAGCGTCCCCAGCCCTCGCTCGCTCCCAGCCGAGCCCAGTCCAGAACCG